CCTATGCGAAAAGCTGCAAAAGAAGCCTGCGCCCGGGTAGAGTGAGCCAATACTGGCAAGGAACAGTGGACGTTGGCTGAGTTATAAGCCTGAGTAATCACTGAAGAAATCCAGCAGGATATGGTCTGGGATGATGCTTTTCTACCTTTCCTGGGTCCATGGAAACAGACAAAGAGGTATCTTTTCTAAAAACGTGTGTTCTGTCTAAATAAAACAATATGGCCTGGCATACATTCAAGGTATGCATGACCTGTTCTGGTTGGGAAGTGGGGGAAGGAAGAAATACTGGCAATGTGATATCCTGACCCAATTGAAACTTAGAGACCACCTTAGGCAAAAACTCCAAACGAGGGTGAAGCACCACTTGGCCTGGATAGATCTTAAGAAAAGGAGGTTGGGAGGACAAAGCAGCTAACTCTCCCACCCTTCTAACTGAAGTTATGGCCACTAGAAAGGCAACCTTGTAGGAAAGAAATGACAATTCACAGGAACCAAGGGGCTCAAATGGTTTATGAACAATTTGTGCTAACACCAATGACAAACTCCATTGTGGTACAGGGGGTACCGCCGGAGGATATAAATTAGCTAAACCTTTAAGAAATTGTTTAGACTCCATACATGCAAAAACTGATAGACCATCACCCTTATTGTGATACGTGGCAATCGCTGCCAGGTACGCTTTTAAGGAGGAGTTGGACAGGCCCTTGCCCTTTAGAGAAAGTAGGAACTCTAACACATAGGACAGAGAACAGGTGAAAGAGTTTATTCCCTTGACCTCCACCCAGGGTGAAAAACTAGCCACCTTGCAGGCATACGATGCCCTGGTCGACAGCTTCCTAGCTGTCGTAATGACCTGCTGTACCGAGTGGCCCCCTACCCTGGAGGGAGGACTAACCACGCCGTGAGGTGAAGGGCGTTGATGTTGGGTTGGGGGTGGGGCATTGGATCAAAGAGGTCTGGCACTGGAGGGAGAACATAGTAAGAGCAACTCGCCATCTGCCACAAGGTTGGAAACCATTGTCTCCTTGGCCAAAAAGGAGCCACTATGATGCCGGCAGTGCCCTCGGCTTGCCACTTGGATATCACTCTGTTGAGCAATGGCAGAGGGGGAAAGGCGTAAAACCAGCATCCAACCCAAGTGAGCTCGAATGCATCCGCAAGGGAGCCAACACCTACACCTGCCCTCGAACAAAATTGGGGACATTTGAGGTTCTCTGTTGAAGCGAACAAATCTAGGTCTCGTTTTCCCCATGCTTCGAACAGTGGTAACAGGTAGCGGTGTGAAAGAGACCACTCGTGTACGGCGGGGAATACTCTGCTCAGTGTGTCTGCCTGAGAATTTAAGTGGCCTGCAATATGGATGGCAGTGATGTCTATATTATACGCTATAGCAGTCTCCCAGAGGAGGGAACTTTCCGTGCACAGACATACAGATCCTGTTCCCCCATGTTGGTTGATGTAGTAAACCACTGTGGTGTTGTCGGTATGCACAAGGACCTTGCGTCCTCACAGCAACTCTGCAAAAGAAAAAAGAGTGAGTCTCACTGCTCTGAGCTTTAAGCAATTGATATGCCAAGCACTTTTCTACCTTGTCCAGCACCCCTGTGCCGAGTAGCCAACACAGTGGGCTCCCCAACCTGTTAGGGAAGTGTCAGTGTAGAGGTGTAGTTCCGGGGTAACATAACCAAACTGTACACCTCTGGTTAGGTTCTCAGTGTGTAACCACCAAGCCAAAGTCTGAAGAATGCATCAGGGGACGGAGAAGTGACTATAAGGTAAGTCAGTGGCAGGATGGAAAACCTTCAGGAACCACCATTGGAGTGGTCGCATGTGCAAACGTGCATTCAGAATGACTGCTGTAGTAGATTCCATGTGACCCAATAATGGGCAGACTGATACCTATGACCCTGCAGGGTCTTGACTAGAGCAACAATCTGTAATGCCCTGTGAGTTGGAAGAAATGCTCTGCCCACATCGGCGTCCAAACAAGCGCCAATAAACTCTATTGATTGGGTGGGTATAAGATTTGACTTCTCCAGGTTAATCATCAACCCCAATGATCGCAGGGTCTGCATCACCATGTGAAGATGTCGTGTGAGCTGCCCGGGGAAGTCCCCCACCAGAAGCAAGTAATCAAGATAGGGGTAAAGTCTACAACCCTTTAAATGGAGGTGTGCAATCACAGCAGACAAACATTTAGTAAAAACCTTGGGTGCTGACGCGAGCCCAAAGGGAAGCACCCTATATTGAAATACAGCACCATCATGAATGAAACGTAGGAACTTTCTGCAACCAGCGTGTATGGAGATGTGGAAATAGGCATCTTTTAAATCAATGCTCACAAACCAGGAACCAGAAAATAAGAGCAGGATGACTTCCTGAAGGGACAGCATCCTAAACCTCAGAGTAGTGAGGAAGCGATTTAATTTTCGTAAATCTAAAATGGGTCGCTTCCCTCCATCTTTCTTGTTAATGATGAAAAATGGACAGTAGAAACCAGGAGAAGTCTCGGCGTTCAACACCTGAGTAACAGCTCCCTTCTGTAATAAGGTCTGGACCTCTGGGGACAGCTGTGCAACTCGAGTAACACCCCCTGAACTAAGAGTGTGACACACAGGGAAATGTTGAAATTCCAAGTAGTAACCAAACTTTATTATAGAAAGTACCCAAGGGTCATCAGTGATAGACAGCCAAACACCATAGTAACGAGACAACTGGTCTCCGAACTGGCCGTGGGAGTTCCGTCAGGACAGGTCAGCTCCTCTCATGGCTGGTTCCTTAAAGCACTCACCCTGTTGGGAAGCCCTAGGTTTAGGTGGGCATGAATTGGATGTGGCCTGAAAGGGGGACCTAGAATTGCCCTGGAACGACTGTGAGTGATATCTATTATCAGTATATCAAAATAGTTTGTTATAGTTAAAGCTCTGGAAAGGCCTCGACCAGTACCTGGCCCTGGAAGGAACAGCATTTGTGTTAGTAATGCCAAGCAACTTTGCTTGGAGCTTGTATTTATGGATCTTCTCTAAGATGTCATCGGTCTCCTGGCTAAACAGCTCCTTACCCTCAAAGGATAAATCTTCCAGTTTAGCCCGGGTATCAAAAGGCAAGGCTGAGGATCTTAGCCATGCATGACGTCTCATCACTAAACCTGAGCCCATGGCCCGACTATGACAATTGGCATCATGACGGGCAGCCGTCACCTGTTGTTTACCTAGCTGCAGACCTTCCTCTATCACTGCTTTTGCCAAAAGCTGTTTATCTTGAGGAAGGTCCTCTGTGAGGGGCAGTAATTTTTCCCAGAGTAATCTGTTGTACAGGCCCATAATGGCAGACAGATTGACCACACGGAGGCCTGCTGCCCCTGAGGAATATACTCGATGCCCTAGGGCATCTGACTTATGCCCCTCCTTATCACTAGGAGAAGATCGAGATCCATGTCTGGCCTTAGTGGTGCAGTACCGCCGGAGTCATGTTGTCAGTGCCAAGGGGAGGGCGATTGCTGGCTACGAGATGTCGACGCCGGGTGAATGTCTGATGAGCAATGTGGTGGAGACGGGGGAGATTGCCATTCGCGCCCGTGTTTTTTCTCTTTCTTTTTCTGCTTCTTAGCCGGGGGCTCCGAGTCTGCTCTAGGTCTATCCCTCTTTTCAGAGGCATTAGGCCCTGTCAATGGGGGAGCAGAACTCACCGATGGAGTTCTTAGCCCTGGAATGCCCGGCTGGTTCGGGTTGCTGAGGCTGTACCTTGGAGGCGCTGAGGGCCTTTTCCCAGAGAACAGCTTTGAGTCACGGGGTTAAGGCCTTACAAGCCTTACACGATGCCGTGTTATGGCCTTCTCCCAAACAAAGAATACAGGAAGAATGGTCATCCGATTGTGCCATTTTAGCACCATAGTCCTTACATTTCTTGAAGAGAGCCATAGAGAAAACAGGCCTAAGCCAAGTGACAGAAAAATCTCCTCAGACCCTAGTTCAGCTCGCTGATACACATCCTCAGTTTGTGGCAGCAAAAAGAGAACTGAGGGGAGAGTGCTAGCTCCTCCCATACCCCGTGACTTTTGGGCAGGAAGTGCCACTGTTGCTATGGGAAGACTAGCACTCTTCGGGAATTAAGAGGTTTTAGAGCTCGCTAGCTCCTCCCGGTGGTTGGCCTGTGTAAGCGCAGTCCCCATGTGGGACTGCACAGAAGCCACGCTGATGAACCTTAGTTCATGCCATCCAGCCCTGAGGAACCACATGAACTTCCCACGATTTCCTCCCCCACACATCTCCCCAGTCAGTAAGCACAGCAGGGAAATGAAGTATCCACAGACCTTAAATCAGGGATTATTAATTTGCCCCCATCCCTATTCAAATAAGGCACAAGTATGGAATTGGCTGTGAAGAATGCTAGCCATCCAATGGGAAGGCTGGACGCAGGGGCTATTTAAGCAAGCCTTTCCCTTCAATGCAGGCTTTCGCCATCTGAGCTGAGGGAAACAGGAGTGTGCCAGAGCTTCAGGTTCTAAAGTGATCCTGTTTACTTTGACAATTGGCATTGAGCCTGGTGATAGGGGAGTGTGAGGGCATAAGAGCTGGGGTCATTGCTTAACTGTGGTTTTGTGTTCTTGTTTTGTGTTTCCTGGTTGATTGGTGAGTTTCTGCGTTTTTGAGTGGGTGCAGTTGACATCTCCCCCTTTTTAGGGGTTTGCTGGACTCTTGTCCTGCTTGTTCTTTGTTTTCTCCCCCCCACCCACCTTCAGGAGCCCTTTCATTTATTTATTTTTATTTTTTTATTTTTTGTATTTGTATCCCATCCAGCCCACGAGCGGGCTCAGGGTAGGTCACATCATCTTTCAACAACACAATAAGGTTTAAAAGCACAATATAAACATTTAAAATCAGTAGTTATAGCTACTGGTGAAAGTTCCAACCCATTAATACAGATGGATATGGCTGGTTGCCGATCGATGGATGGCCAGCAGGTTCGAGATAGCAACCTCAGGGAGGACATATGTGGACAACTACGGCCTCAACGGCAAAACATTGGTGGCAACGGAGCATCTGGCGGTGAAGGCGGATGGCGGCTGCAGCGGCTGCAGTGGTGATAGAGCGATCCCTGGTGGCTAGCAGACCATCGCGCAGCTGACGACGGCAAAAAAAACGCGGAGACTGGGAGGCGCCCGATGATGCGCAACGCAGGGCGCAGCGGAGCCTGAATTGGACGGAGCCGAGGTCAAGAAGCGGGCGGGAGTCGTGGGCCTGCGCAGTCTCGCCGACAACAAGTCGTCCTGCAAAAATGCCAAGAGATTGCCTGGAAGAAAGCCACGCCGGAGCAACAACAAGGTTCTCCACCTGGGTGCTGGTAGGCTGCCCCACCCCTATCATGAGGCCCAAGTTAGGGATTAAGGGTTATTAGAACCACTATATATGTAAACCGCCCAGAGACCCTCCGGGGTTAGGGCAGTATAGCAAGTTGAAAGTATAAAATAAAATATAAAAATATAAAACCCAAAAGCCTGGTGCAACAGCTCCATCTTGCAGGCCCTGTGGAACTGAGTAAGATCCCACAGGGCCCTGATCTCAATGTGGAGCATGTTCCACCTGGTGGGGGCCAGGGCAGAGAAGGCCCTGGCCCTGGCCAAGGCTAGACGGACGTCTTTTGGGCCAGGGACCACCAGGAGATGTTGATTATTAGAGCGTGAAGCTCTTCAAGATATATATGGGAAGAGGCGGTCCCTCAGATATGTTGGTCCCAGGCCATATAAGGCTCTGAAGGTTATTACCAACACCTTGAAGCGGATCCAGTACTCAACTGGTAACCAGTGCAGCTGGCAAAGCACATGCTGAACGTGAGCCCTCACAGGCATCGACGTCGGCAGGTACACCACCACATTTTGTACCAGCTGTATTTTCCTGATCAGCCTCAGGGGTAAGCCTGCGTAGAGCAAATTGCAGTAATCAAGCCTGGGCGTGACCATTGCATGGATCACTGTAGCTAGGTCTTGGGAGGAGACATAAGGCTTCAGTAGCCTAATCTGCCTGAGATGGAAGAATGCAGAACTGGCAACTGTGGCAACCTTGGCATCCATGGACAGAGAGGCATCCAGTGTTACTCCCAGGCTCCTCACTGTCTGGGCTGGCACCATGATGGGATGATTGTTAGTGTAATAAAGAACAACCAGCAGGGGGAGCCCAGCATAATTTTTCATACATCCTACAGACATAATGTAGACATATACAGTATTTTCAAGATTTTTTGTAGTCCCAGATCTCAATTTGTTTCAATTTTATTATTTATTTATTTATTAGACTAGCAGTAAAGCCCGTTGTGAAACCAATACAACGAGATCTAGAAAGAGGCTCTGGGGGAGTGCTCTGGCTTTGGGCAAACAGTGTCAATTTGCTGTGGTGACCTCAGCAGGGTATAATGACAGAGTCCACTGTTTTCTCCAGAGGAACTGATCTCTGCTACCTGAAGAGCAGTTGTAATTGTGAGTGATCTGTAGCCCTCACCTGGAGATTGGCAGCAATTGTTACCCAGTACAAAGTGGCTGGTTTGGAGGGTGTAGTCTATGGCATTCTACCTGTCTGAGGTCCCACCCCTCTGCAAACCCCACCCTCTCCAGGCTCCACCCCTCAAATCCCCAGGAATTTGTCAGCATGTAGTTGGCAACCCCATCTCCTTCCCAGCTAGCCACCAACCTACCATTATCTGCCCCTTTGACTTCAGCTGACTTCTGCCCTCCCAGATTTTTATCCCGCCCTCCCGCCGAAGCAGCTCAGGGCGGCTTACAACAGTTAAAACCAGTAAAATTAATACAGTGCATCTAAAACAGTCAATAGCGATAACAGTAAGATTACAATAAAGCTGTACAATTTACACATGGCAGCCAGCCATATAAAGTGCTAGAACGATTGGTCTGGGCTATTGAATGCTTGGCGGAACAGCTCCATCTTCTTGTAGCTGTTAACTTGGCATCCCTAGGGCCAGGGGGGACTAAACGGTCCTGCAACTCAGATCTCAGTGCTCTTGGGGGAACATACGGGGAAAGGCGGTCTCTCAGGTAGACAGGCCCCAGACCATTAAGGGCTTTAAAGGTCAAAACCACCACCTTGGATTTTCATATCCTAAACATGGCTCAAGATGAGTTAAAGTTTTGCGAGTTTTGGACACCTTTGTAAAAAACCCCAAAACAAACGTCTGTTGAAGCATTTAGCAAAACAGTAACTGGATAGTGGAATAAACTCTTTTTTACGCTCTCTGGACTAGAGCTGTCTCATATATACAGATTCCTAAGCGCCACTGTTGCATGGTGTGCAAAGGGAGAGGATAAAGCCTGTGCTACCATAGCATGGATCACTGATGCCAGATCGTTGCGTTCGAGGAAGGGGACCAACTGCCTAATCAGCCGTAGATGGTAAAAGGCTGCCTTGGCAGTGGCTGCTACCTGGGCCTCCATTGTCAAGGAAGCATCCAGGAGCACTCCCAAACTCCTGACCCTCAGAGCTGGCACCAATGGTGCCCCACCGAAGGCCGGAAGTGGGACCCTTACCCCCGTACCACTCCGATTCAGGCATAGGACCTCCGTCCTCATTGGATTCAGTTTCAGTCGACTCAGCCTAAGCCAGTCCGCTATGTCCCGCAGCGCTCGGTCCAGATCTTCCGGGTTAGAGCCAGACTGGCCGCCCAACAGCAGGTAGAGCTGGGTGTCATCCGCATATTGATGACATCCCAGCCCATGTCTCCGGGCAATCTGGGCAAGGGGGCGCATGTAGATGTTAAACAACATCAGTGAGAGAACAGCTCCCTGGGGCACTCCACAAACTAGTGGGTGTCTCCAGGACAGACTCTCCCCGAGAGCCACCCTTTGTCCCCGACCTTGGAGGAAAGAGACAAGCCATTGCAAGGCGAGCCCCCGAATCCCCACGTCGGCGAGGCGGTGGGCGAGCAACTGGTGATCGCAGCCGACAGGTCCAACAGCAGGAGCACTGCCGTCCCGCCCTGATCCAGATGCCTGAGGAGATCATCTGTGAGGGCCACCAGTACTGTCTCAGTCCCGTGGCCCGGGTGGAAGCCGGAATGAAACTAGCACGGAGGTGTCATCCAGAAAGGTCTGCAGCTGTATCGCCACCGCCCTCTCTATTAATTTGCCTAAATAAGGCAAATTGGAAACCGGCCGATAGTTGGCCAATTCGGCCGGATCCAAAGATGGTTTTTTTAATGGGACCCCTAATATATGCCTTCTCTTCAAATATTTAAGGGACTCACAACATGTTAAAGGGTTCACCACACAAAGAAGGTAGTTAATATAACCATAAGAAGGGCAACAGCCATATTGTCCGTGTATTGCTTCTTGACAGGAGTATTCTGGTTTGAATTATTTTTAGGCTGCCAGCTAATAATTTCATGCCCTGTCCTATTTACCCAGATGGAGATTTCACAGCAATGAATAGAGCATATTTTATGGGAGGTTGGAGCACTTATTCCCTTGGAAAGTCCCTGATGACACACTACAATGTCTGCCAAACTATATCTTAAAAGGATCGTTGCTTTTCCTCATTCTGATTCAGCAATAAGAAGAACAGCTGCCACCAACATGAGGTCTACAGAATCCTATTGCACACAGTAATAAGCACTCAACTGAGTCCCCGTGTCTTTATAGAGTAACAAGCCAACTCACAAATTACATTTATGCAGGGGTGGACAGGCCCTCTTTAATATCTTGGGAAACTAGAGACCAGAAGAAAACTGAGCCAGATGGGCCCAATGGGTAAGCCTACATCCATTATCATCATCACTATGGCCTGGATCCAAGCTGAGCAGCCTCCTGCATCACTGCCACACTGCATAAGCCACTTGGCTCAGCCTCTTCTAGGGCTGCTTTAACATCCCTTTTAAAAGATCCTCTCCCAAACCTTTTCATAGACCAGCCACCCATCCAAGTACCACTGAATTCCAAGCCATTTCCCTTGTTTTGTTGCCTCATGTGCATTGGTCATTAGGCGCGTACTCATTAGCTGCACCCCTGTGCCCCCCTATGCACCTCCAAGCAGGTCACTTCACCTGTGGCCCTGGCATTTGTACACTTTCTCTTTCTGTCACAGAATGGTTGTGACCACCACCATTTCAGGAATCACGCATTACTCACCAGCTGCATCACACAGCAGACTCACCTCCAGGGCCGCCTCCTATCTGCTAGAGAAGAAGATAATTTGTTAGAAGCACACCTAGCCACCCTTGCTGGATGGGGAAACAATCCCACCCTGAAAAATATAATATGCAGTTGGCACCCCTGCCATTCCTAGGGCCCCAATCTTGATCACAAGCTCCTGGACTATGGAGTGCTCTTACTCATTCATTGATATTCTAAGTATCTTGCAGGATATCCCCTGTTTGCATTGGTTTGTTGATTCTTCCTGGGAGCAATAGGTTGTAAACTGTTTAATGGTATAAAACAAGGTGGGTGAACTCTGTCCATGGTATGGCTGGTTGGTACACAACACAGAGTGCCGTCCTAAGCACACTTACATCAATTCAGTGGATTAGACTTCTGAGTATACAGGCACTGATAATGAACTGACTCAAGAAAATCAGAACTAGACTTGTGCGGTTCATGGATGGGGAGACTTCCTGAGAATCCTATGTATACTGCTCTGGATTTCATAATAACAGAAAGGTGAAATACAAATACAATTAAAAATAAATACCAGCAGAAGTGTGAAGAAAATCTGCTGGATTTGACATTGAAGTAGTAAAGTGGCTATTACTGAACTGTGAGTAAGTGAGATAATAGCTGGCCTCACAAATGCTTCTTTGTTCTTAGGTAGTGTCTTTCTGTCTAGAACTGATAATTGGCTCTCCAACTACATGGTGTGACAAGCTATTCTTTTTAAACTTAGCAATGAAGAAAGATTTGTGTAAAATATCAGGTTCTTAGATCAGTACCTTGCATTCAATAACTTCAAAATAAACCAAATTTTGGAGGCTTCACCAAACAGAATACCTTGCTCCAGAAAGAACCATAGCATGGCAATATAAATAGTATTTTTATTAATCCCCTATATATGCTACCAAATGTAATAAGTCAGAGTATTCAAAGAGCTTCACACACTTCTCAGTCATCCTTACCACTACCTAGTAGGGTATATTACTTCCAGCCCTAGTAGGGTATATTACTTAAACCAGCATTCGATACACACTTATTAATCCACGAATGTATGGTTGAGCCAATATATTACACTCTTGGGGGGGGGGTGTTCCTGCTTCAAAACACACTCTCACCTCTCTTTCCCACCTGC